CCGCAGGGCCGCTCGGGGCGGGACGGCACCCTGCGCCGAGTGCCGCGCCGCAGCTTCACGCCGGCCAGCTTCCTGGAGGAGGACACGGCCGACTTCCCGGACGAGCTGGACACCTCCTTCTTCGCCCGGGTGAGAGGCCGGCCGCGGCCCCTGCGCCCCCCGCGCCGCCCGCCGCCGGCCTGACCTCCGGTGTCTGCTCAGGAAGGAGTCCTCCACGAGGAGCTGTCCACGTACCCCGACGAGGTGTTTGAGTCCCCCTCAGAGGCCGCGCTCAAGGACTGGGAGAAAGCGCGGGAGCAGGCCGACCTCACCGGGGGCGCCCTGGCGCGCAGCGAGCTGGAGCGCAGCCACCTGATGCTGTGAGTCGCCGCCCTGAGGGGCAAGAGGGCCCCGGAGCGCAACCTCTTAGCGCTGGAGGCCGCCGCCGCGACCCCCGCCTGAGGGCTCCTCCTGCCCCTGGCCGCCCCGTGGCCCAGGTGCCCCTGCCGAAGAGGCTGCGGCAGCTTCTCACCCACCCGGAGCAAGACAGCCAGGGCAGGCTCGCCCCTCGGGCGGGCGGGCGGGGTGTAACGCGCCGCGTCCCCAGGCCCCTGGAGCGCGGCTGGAGGAAGCAGAAGGACGGCGGCTCGGCCGGGCCACAGCCCAAGGTGCGCCTGCGGCAGGAGGTGGTGAGCGCGGCCGGGCAGCGGCGGGGCCAGCGCATCGCGATGCCGGTGCGCAAGTTCTTCGCCCGCGAGAAGCGGCCCTACGGGCTGGGCATGGTGGGCCGACTGACCAACCGCACCTACCGCAAGCGCATCGACAGTTATGTCAAGCGGCAGATCGAGGACATGGACGACCACAGGTGGGCGGGCGGGGCGGCCGCCGGGGCAGGGCTCGGGCTGGCCTGCAGTCACGCCTCCGCCGCGCCCGCAGGCCCTTCTTCACCTACTGGCTCACCTTCGTGCATTCGCTCGTCACCATCCTGGCCGTGTGCATCTACGGCATCGCGCCGGTGGGCTTCTCCCAGCACGAGACGGTGGACTCGGTAAGGCCAGGCCCGGCGCCCGCCCCGGGCCGCCTCTGGGCTCCATCTGCCCCACTCTGGGCGGGGGCCGAGTGCGTCCAAGCTGACCGCGCGCCCCAACTAACCAGGTGCTGCGCAACCGCGGGGTCTATGAGAACGTCAAGTACGTCCAGCAGGAGAACTTCTGGATCGGGCCCAGCTCGGTGAGGG